AAAGGAGAATAAAAGGGAACATGCCCCCTTCTCCCAGCTCAGCAACAAGGCAAGGCCAGGCTTGGATTCTGCTTCTTTGCAATCGAGACGTAGTTTTTTTTACAACTTGAAAAGTCACTTAATCCAGGTGCCAGGATGAGGTGGGGCATTGCAGGTGGGGACTCGGGCTGTTAGGCCCCGTCCTGCCAGGCCCAGCCCTGGTCTTAGAGGAGCTAGAGTTTGCCAGTTCCCACCCACGCCTCAGCTCCTGCTATAGCCCCACCCCACTCCTGCTCAGCACCTGGACCTCCTCATCTCCTCTTCCCTCTCCCCCTCTCTTGGAGGGCTGACAAGTCCCACAGGAAAGAAAGAGCTCAGAGGTCAGGAGTTTCCTCCACCCACTCGCACTCCCACATACATCCCAATATACCCTAAACCAGAGCTGGGGGCGGGGGGGTGGCCTCAGGCAACCAAGTAGCCACAGAGTTCAACTATCTCATCATTAAGGCCTCTTCCCCGCAAGGCGCTCAGGAAAGACTGATGGTGGTGACTCCATTCAATTCAACCAACATTGAGTACTTGCTGCATGCCAGGCCCTGTGTTAGAGTTAAGAAGGGTGTTGTTCCTACTCTCTGGGAACTCTTGGGGCAGTGGGGGAAAGATAGTGCACACAGCCCACAGTATTATATGTGCTTTATAGTGGTGCAAAGTGCAATTGAGTATAGAAAGTGAGACTGATTTCACTTGGGGAATGCTGAGTGGATATCAAAGAAGATTTCCTCTAAGAGGTTGCATCTGAGCTGGGCCATAACGAATCAATAAGACTGCCAGTAAGAAATGCTCTTTGAGGCCAGGCATGGTGGCTCATGCCTGTAATCCTAGCACTTTGGGAGGCTGAGGTGGGAGGATTGCTTGAGGCCAGGAGTTCAAGAGCAACCTGGCCAACATAGCGAGACCGTCTCTAAAGAAAACAAAAAGAAGCCAGGTGCGATGGCTCATGCCTGTAATCCCAGCACTTTGGGAGGCCGAGGCAGGCAGATTACAAGGTCAGAAGATTGAGACCATCCTGGCCAACACGGTGAAACTCCATCTCTACTAAAATACACACACACAAAAAAAATTAGCTGGGCATGGTGGTGCGTGCCTGTAGTCCCAGTTACTTGGGAGGCTGAGGCAGGGGAATCACTTGAACTTAGGAGGCGGAGGTTGCAATGAGCTGAGATCCTGCCACTGCACTCCAGCCTGGTGACAGAGCAAGACTCTGTCTCAAAAATTAAAAAAAAAAAAAAAAAGAAGTGCTCTTTTTAACAGAGGAAAGTATGAGAATTATAGTGACTACCAGGAATGTGAGGTAGTTTGCTCAGCACCTTATGTATTCACTCAATTGTCACGATGACTTTGTGAAATTGTATAATTATGGCCATTCTCCAGATGTGGCAGCTGAGGCTTTGAGACATACAGCTAGTAAGAGGCAAAACTGGGATTTCAGCTCAGTGCTATCTGCTTCCATTAGTTGAACTTCTGCCACCTAGAGTAGCCTGAGCAAAGGACATGTGGCAACATGAGCAGAAGACCATGAGGTGAGGCTGGAGGGCTGAGTAGCAGGGGTTGGGTTCGGGGAGCCTTGGTTGAGGAGTGTGGGCTTTAGCCAGCAAGCAATGACGGGGGGTCATGGGAGGTTCACTAATGGGGGTGTGGGGTAAAGAAAGATGATGCTTACGATAAGCTTTCTGTTTTCAGAGGCCCACTTTGAAGAGAAGAAATTAGAGGCAGAGAAACCTGTGTGGGAGTTGCTGCAAAAATCCAAGAGAAAGATGGGGGTTGAGGGATGAAGAGGAAGGGATGCATCCAGGAGATACCAAGCGGAACCTAGGGATTGATTGGTTCCGGTAGACAAGTGGAGGGAGGAGTCCAAGCTGATGTCTCAGGCTTTTGGCCTGTATGCTCCAAAAGGAAGCCCAATAATTAGGTTTTGTGTTTCGTTTTGTTTTTCGTTTTTTGAGACAGGGTTTCACTCTGTCTTCCAGGCTGGAGTGCTATGGCACGATCAGAGCTCACTGCAGGCTCGACTTCTCTCCACACTCAGGTGATTCTCCAACCTCAGCCTCCTGAGTAGCTGAGACTACAGGTGTGCTCCACCATGCTCGCTCATTTTTTGAATTTTTTGTGGAGATGGGGTCTTGCCATGTTGCCCAGGCTGTTCTGGAACTCCTGGGCTCAAGCGATTCTCCCACCTCAGCCTCCCAAAGTGCTCAGATTACAGGCATAAGCCACCATGCCCGACCTTGGCTAATTTAATTTTTTTTTTTTTTTTTTTTTTGAGATAGAGTCTCGCTCTGTCACACAGGCTGGAGTGCAATGGCGCGATCTTGGCTCACTGCAACCCCTGCCTCCCAGGTTCAAGCGATTCTCCTGCCTCAGACTCCTGAGTAGCTGGGATTACAGGCACGCGCCACCATGCCCAGCTAATTTTTGTATTTTTAGTGGAGACAGGGTTTCACCATGTAGGTCAGGCTGGTCTTGAACTCCTGACCTCATGGGGATCCACCTGCTTCGGCCTCCCAAAATGCTGGGATTACAGGTGTGAGCCACTGCGCTTGGCCAATTTTTAAAATGTTTTGTAGAGACGGGGTCTCGCAGGACAGGCGTGGTGGCACACACCTGTAGTTCCAGCTACTCAGGAGACTGAGGTGGGAGCCTGGGAGGTTGAGGCTACAGTGAACCCTGATTGTGCCACTGTACTCTAGCCTGTGCAAGAGAGTGAGACCCTGTCTCAAAAAAAAAAAAAAAAAAAAGGCCAGGTGCAGTGACTCACACCTGTAATCCCAGCACTTTGAGAAGCCAAGGCAGGCAGATCATTTGAAGTCAAGAGTTCAAGACCAGCCTGGTCAACATGAGAGATTGGATCTATGTTGCCCGGACTGGTATTAAACTCCTGGGCTCAAGCAATCCTCCTGCCTTGGCCTCCCAAAGTGCTGGGATAAGAGGCATAAGCCACTGTGTCCAGCCCCAGTAATTAGTTTTTGTTTTGTTTTGTTTTGTTTTGTTTTGTTTTGTTTTGTTTTGAGACGGAGTCTAGCTCTGTTGCCCAAGCTGGAGTGCAATGGCCGGATCTCAGCTCACTGCAAGCTCCGCCTCCCGGGTTCACGCCATTCTCCTGCCTCAGCATCCCGAGTAGCTGGGACTACAGGCGCCCGCCACCTCTCCCGGCTAGTTTTTTGTGTTTTTTAGTAGAGACGGGGTTTCACCGTGTTAGCCAGGATGGTCTCGATCTCCTGAACTCGTGATCCGCCCGTCTCGGCCTCCCAAAGTGCTGGGATTACAGGCTTGAGCCACCGCGCCCGGCCCAGTAATTAGTTTTTAACAACATACTGGGTACCTCCTAGTCCCCTACCATGACTCAGCCCTACATGTGGCACCTGCAAAACTCACTCCTGAAAGGTGCTTTATTCTTCTCCAAATATTTATATTCATCACCTATTTGTGCATGTATTTATCTAACATATATGGAGCACCTACTGTATGCCAGAGGCTGTGCCAGGAACCGGGGATACTTCAGGACACAAACTAACCTCGTGTCATTAGTGATATAATGGTTACAGCCAGGGGTCTGCATTTGAATCCTGATGTGCAGCTTATTTGTGGTGAGTCCTGGCTCAGCCTCCAACTTGCTGTGACTTCAGGTGAGTGAGTGAACCTCTCATTGTCTCAGTTTCCTCATCTGTAAGATGGTGATACCAACAGTACCTACCATGCAGATTAAATGGGTTAAACGTAAAGTTCTGGGCCCCGGGTCAGCATTTGACATTAGCTATTATTAGAGTTTACATTTTAATGAGGATCCAATTGCACTACTAATTATTTAATTTGTTAGTATTATTGAGACAGAGTCTTGCTCTGTCTGTCGCCCAGGCTGGAGTGCAGTGGTGCGATCTCGGCTCACCACAACCTCCGCCTCCTGGGTTCAAGCAACTCTCCTGCCTCAGCCTCCTGAGTAGCTGAGACTACAGGTGTGTGCCACCACACCCGGCTAATTTTTGTACTTTTAGTAGAGATGGGGTTTCACCATTTTGGCCAGGCTGGTCTCAAACTCCTGGCCTCAGGTGATCTGCCTGCCTCAGACTCCCAAAGTGTTGGGATTACAGGTGTGAGCCACACCACCTCTGGCCTATTTAATTTATTTTTATTTTTATGTTTGAGACAGGGCCTCGCTCTGTTATCCAGGCTGGAGTTCAGTGGCGCAATTACAGTTCACTGCAGCCTCCTCGACCTCCCAGGCTCAATCCATCCTACCACCTCAGCCTCCCGAGTAGCAGGGACTACAGGCACATGCCACCATGCCTGGCTAATTTATTTTTTGTAGAGACAGGGTTTTGCCATGTTGCCCAGGCTGGTCTTGAACACCTGGTTTCAAGTAATCTTCCCACCTCAGCCTCCCAAAGTGTTGGGATTACAGGCCTGAGGCACCACACTGGCCAATAATTTTTTTTTTTTTTTTTTGAGACAGAGTCTCGCTCTGTCGCCCAGGCTGGAGTGCAGTGGCCAGATCTCAGCTCATCACAAGCTCTGCCTCCCAGGTTTAGGCCATTCTCCTGCCTCAGCCTCCCGAGCAGCTGGGACTACAGGTACCCGCCACCTCGCCTGGCTAATTTTTTGTATTTTTTTGGTAGAGACGGGGTTTCACCATGTTAGCCAGGATGGTCTCGATCTCCTGACCTCGTGATCCGCCCGTCTCGGCCTCCCAAAGTGCTGGGATTACAGGCTTGAGCCACCGCGCCCGGCCACTGGCCAATTATTTAATTATGTACAACCATGATAAATACAGCACTGCTGTCTTTCTTCTTCTGAAGGTGCCTCCAGCTGGAGGTAAGGGAAGGTTTCAGAGCAGACGATGGTCCCACTGAGCTGAGCTAAGTGAGTTGGGGCTGGCCAGGGAAAGCATGAGGGAGGGAGGGGCATTTAAGGCAGAGGGCACAGTGAGAAGGCAGACCAGCAGGTGGAAGGAAGCGCTGAGAGCTTTGTATTTCCAGAATTTTACTTGGAGCCTCAAAACAGTGCTGAGAAGTAGATCAGGCAGATACTGTGCCCCCATTTTACAGAAAGGGCACTAAGGCCCAGAGAGGAACAATGACTTAGCAGGTCTGTGACAGAGGAGGTGCTCGTCAATGTTCTGCCAGCTGATCCAAGGGGCTGGAGAGGACAGGCCTGAGAAGAGGCCTTTGTCCCTTTGCCGGCTGGGGCGGGAGCAGCAGAGGCTGAGGCTGCAGCTGGCCACCAGCAGCTGTGGTGGCCAGAGCTGCATTCCTTCCCCTGCCAGCGAGCAAGTCCAGGCTTATGACAGGGGTTGGGAATTTTCTTTTTGTCTTTAAGAAAAAAAGCACTTTAGTCAACATTAAGTTGTGACTTCAAACAGACACAGCTCCTAAGTGTCCTCCTCAGCTCTCCAACTCCCCAGGGTAAGCCCCCAGGCAGCCAAGTTTCTGGGAAAGGCAGGAGGCCTGGAGGTGGAGTCCAAAGACTGTGGTGAGCCTTGGCTCAACCTCCCACTTGCTGTGTGACCTCAGGCAGGTCACCACCCTCTCTGGGCCTGAGAGTCCTCTGCAAAACAGGGAAGGGAGGGTTGGATGACATAAGGTGGGGTGGGGAGCCCAGCAGCTGGCTCTAGCCAGTGGCAACACAGCTCTGCTGCTCTCCAAGTTTGAGGCAGTGGGGCCTTGGGGGTCCGGAAGCTGGGGACAGGCAGCCTTTCATCTCTGCTGGCCCAGGGTCGCTGCAGGTTGGCAGGCCCCACATCCCGAGATCGCGTTTCAGGCTGGAAGAGGCCTTCCTGTGACCTCAGCTGGCCAGGCCTGCCCCTGCCTCCCTCCTCCCCATTCTCACCAGAGGGAAGCAGGCAGTATCCCGCCCAAGGTCACCAGCCAGCAAGTGGCTGTCCTTCGGCCTGCCCTTCCCTCCCACCCGAGCCGGCCCCCACCGGCCTCCCACTGTAAAGCCTCAGGTCTCCTGGGCCATTAGGAATCTGCCAGGCGAGGCGTGGTCTTTTTCCTCTCTCTTGTTTCTTGGCTTGTTTTCCCAGTTCTCCAACAGCCGCCTCCTGCAAAAGCCTCCGGGTGCGTGTACAGGAACATTTTTCTTTAAAAAAAAAAAAAAAGAGAGAGATTGAGAGAAAGACAGAGAAATACAGCAGAGTTTGGGTAAAAAAGCAAGGAACTCCTTAATCCTTTCTCTGTAACCTCTGGCTTCTCAGCTGGGTTGGCCCCAGGCACTGGGAAGGCAGGCTTTGCTGGGGTGAGAGGCCTGGGCTTGTCCCCCACCCGCCCCCTCCTCACCCGCCTCTGTTCTCCGGGGTTTGGTCTGGCTTTTGGAGCCAGGAGGAGACGAACTGCAGGGCTCAGCAGGGCTGGGAAAACATGGGGGTGCTGAGGGGCTTGGCTGGGACTTTGCCTCCCTGCCCACTTGGCCACCTTCTATGGAGGTTACAGGATCTGAATATTTCACCCATAACCCATTCTCTCTCTTCCTGCTTTCATTCCTTTATCCTCTGTCTTCGGAATCACTGGCCTGTCCAGTGCTAGCTCCCTGAGTGCCGTCTCCCATCCCTGGACGCAGTCACCCCACACGGGGCGTGGCTTTCTTGTTTTGTGAAAGTCATACACTTTCACACTTTGTCTTTATCCAGTCAGACCCCTCTGTAGAAGTGGCACTCAGTGTCCTGCCCTTTGTCCTGTCTGAGGAACGCCTAATTATCTGTTATAGTCACAGTTCCTGGGTCCATGCCTGACACATAGGAGGTATGTTGGGGTGCTTCTCGAATGAATAAATTCAAACCATAAATAGGTCGCTCAAAATATTCAGAGTAAGCCGGGTGCGGTGACTCATGCCTGTAATCCCAGAACTTTGGGAGGCCGAGGCAGGCGGATCACAAGGTCAAGAGATCGAGACCATCCTGGCCAACATGGTAAAACCCCATCTCTACTAAAAATACAAAAATTAGCCAGGCGTGGTGGCGTGCACCTGTAGTCCCAGTTACTCAGAAGGCTGAGGCAGGAGAATCGCTTGAACCTGGGAGACGGAGATTGCAGTGAGCCGAGATCGTGCCACTGTACTCCAGCCTGGGCGATAGAGCCAGACTCCATTTCAAAAAATACATATATATATTCAGAGTGATCCTGCAAAAGGGACATTTGATTGTGACACATCTCTGTTAAAACTCTTCCATGCCTCCCCAGCACCCCTAGAATCCAGTCCAATCTTCCATCTCCACCTCTCCCCACTCACCAGCCCTCATCAAAGGATGTCCTTTCCCCCAATGAGTCATCATTTTTTCTCTTGCCTCTGGGCCTTTGCACATGAAATTCTGACCACCTGCCTGCCTCTGCTGGCTGACTGTCTCAGACCTGTTCCCTTGTCAAATTCAGAGCCCAGCAAAGCAGGGACACTCAAGACTTTTTTTTTTTTTTTCCCAAATAGTTTGACATTCAATAATTTTTTTAAACCACTGAAATAGCCAGGCGCGATGGCTCAAGCCTGTAATCCCAGCACTTTGGGAGGCCGTTCTGGGCGGATCACGAGGTCAGGAGATCAAGACCATCCTGGCTAACACGGTGAAAGTCCGTCTCTACTAAAAATACAAAAAATTAGCTGGGGGTGGTGGCGGGCTCCTGTAGTCCCAGCTACTCGCCAGGCTGAGGCAGGAGAATCGCTTGAACCCGGGAGGTGGAGCTTGCAGTGAGCTGAGATTATGCCACTGCACTCCAGCCTAGGGGACAGAGTGAGATTCCGTCTCAAAAAAAAAAAATTAATTAAAAATAAATAAATAATAAAAATACAAAAATTAGCCAAGCATGGTCGTGGGCGCCTGTAATCCCAGCTACTTCAGCAACTGAGGCAGGAGAATCACTTGAATCCAGGAGGTGGGGGTTGCAGTGAGCTGAGATCCAGCCACTGCACTCATTCCAGCCTGGGCGACAGAGTGAGACTTCGTCTCAATAAAACAAACAAACAAAAAAAAAAACACTGAAATAGTGTTCATGGGAAAATTCAGAACTCTATTGGAGCTTCTTGGTCTTATTTTCTGGATGGCGAGTTTTGTTTTTATGTTGAATTTATACCTAGGCTGGTATGGCACTAGGTGACACGATCTGGCTCTGGTCTTGAAGTCTCAGCCTAGATGTCAACTACTCCTCCAGACCGGTTTAGATCTCTTCTTGGTGCTCCTGAAGCCTCTCTCTCTCTCTCTTTTTTTTTTTTTTTTTTTGTGGAGATGGGATTCTCACTATGTGCTGGGATTGCAGGCATGAGCTGCCACACCTAGCCCCCTATGGATTTTTTATATCCATATTTTTGTTTTACTTATTACTTTCCATTTCCTTACCCCAAGTCTGTAAGCTCCCTGAGGGCCTAATATTTTTCTACTTTTTTTTTTTTTTTTGAGACGGAGTTTCGCTGTTGTTGCCCAGGCTGGAGCGCAATGGCATAATCACGGCTCACCGCAACCTCTGCCACCCAGGTTCAAGCAATTCTTCTGCCTCAGCCTTCCAAGTAGCTGGGATTACATGCATGTGCCACCATGCCCGGCTAATTTTGTACTTTTAGTAGAGACGGGGTTTCTCCATGTTTGTCAGACTGGTCTTGAACTCACAACCTCAGGTGATCCACCCACCTCGGCTTCGCAAAGTGCTGGGATTACAGGCATGAACCACCACGCCCAGCCATATTTTTCTACTTCTATACCTGCAGTGCCTAGTATAGAACCTAACATAAAACTGACCCAAGACATGTTACTCTCCAGTCTTTTTTTTTTTTTTTAATTTCTTCTAAAAAAAATGGGATACATGTGCAGAACGTGCAGGTTTATTACATAAGTATTCATGTGCTATGGTGGTTTGCTGCACCTATTGACCCATCCTCTAAGTTCCCTCCCCTTACCCTCCACCCCCAAACAGGCCCTGGTGTGTGCTGTTCCCCTCTCTGTGTCCATGTGTTCTCAATGTTCAACTCCCACTTATGCGTGAAAACATGCCATGTTTGGTTTTCTCTTCCTGTGTTAGTTTGCTAAGGATGATGGCTTCCAGCTTCATCTATGTCCCTGCAAAGGACATGATCTCATTCCTTTTTATGGCTGCATAGTATTCCATGGTGTATATGTGCCACATTTTCTTTATCCAGTCTCTCATTGATGGGCATTTGGGTTGGTTCCACGTCTTTGCTATTGTAAATAGTGCTGCAATAAACATACGTGTGCATGTGTCTTTATAGTAGAATGATTTATATTCCTTTGGGTATATACCCAGTAATGGGATTGCTGGGTCAAATGGTATTTCTGGTCCTTGAGGAATTGCCACAATACCTTCCACAATGGTTGAACTAATTAACATTCTCACCAACAGTATAAAAGCATTCCTATTTCTCCACAGCCTCACCAGGACCTACTGTTTCCTGACTTTTTAATAACTGCCATTCTGGCCAGGCATGGTGGCTCACGCCTATGATACCAGCATTTGGGAGGCCGAGATGGGCAGATCACGAGGTCAGGAGATCGAGACCATCCTGGCTGACACGGTGAAACCCTGTCTCTACTAAAAATACAAAAAAAAAAAAAATTAGCCAAGCATGGTGGCGGGCGCCTGTAATCCCTCCCAGCTACTCAGGAGGCTGAGGCAGGAGAATGGCCTGAACCTGGGAGGTGGAGCTTGCAGTGAGCCGAGATTGTGCCACTGCACTCCAGCCTGGGCGACAGAGCAAGACTCTGTCTCAAAAAAAAAAAAAAGAAAAAAAATTCGCTAGGTATGGGGGCACGCACCTGTAGTCCCAGCTACTGGGGAGCCTGAAGCAGGAGAATCACTTGAACCTGGGAGAGGGAGGTTGCAGTGAGCTGAGATCACGTCACTGCACTCCAGCCTGGTGACAGAGATAGACTGCACTCCAGCCTGGTGACAGAGCGAGACGCCATCTCAAAAAATAAATAAATAAATAAATAAAAATAACCGCCATTCTGACTGGCTTGAGATGGTATCGCATTGTGGTTTTGATTTGCATTTCTCTCAAGGCCAGTGATGTTGAGCTTTTTTTCATATGTTTGTTGGCTACATAAATACCTTCTTTTGAGAAGTGTTCATATTCTTAACTCACTTTTTGATGGGGTTGGTTTTTTCTTTTCTTTTCTTTTTTTTGTTTTTTTTGAGACGGAGTCTCGCTCTGCCGGATCTCAGCTCACTGCAAGCTCCGCCTCCCGGGTTCAGGCCATTCTCCTGCCTCAGCCTCCCGAGTAGCTGGGACTACAGGCGCCCGCCACCTCGCCCGGCTAGTTTTTTGTGTTTTTTAGTAGAGACGGGGTTTCACCGTGTTAGCCAGGATGGTCTCGATTTCCTGACCTCGTAATCCGCCCGTCTCGGCCTCCCAAAGTGCTGGGATTACAGGCTTGAGCCACCGCGCCCGGCCGGTTTTTTCTTATAAATATGTTTAAGTTCCTTGTAGGTTCCGGATATTAGACCTTTGTCAGATCGGTAGATTGAAAAAATTTTCTCCCATTCTGTAGGTTGCCTGTTCACTCTGAGGATAGTTTCTTTTTTTTTTATTTTTGAGACAGAGTCTCGCTGTGTCGCCCAGGCTGGAGTGCAGTGGTGCAATCTCGGCTCACTGCAAGCTCCGCCTCCCAGGTTCACGCCATTCTCCTGCCTCAGCCTCCCGAGCAGCTGGGACTACAGGCGACCGCCACCATGCCCAGCTAATTTTTTTGTATTTTTAGTAGAGATGGAGTTTCACTGTGTTAGCCAGGATGGTCTTGATCTCCTGACCTTGTGATCTGCCCAGAACGGCCTCCCAAAGTGCTGGGATTACAGGTGTGAGCCACCGTGCCCGGCCGATAATAGTTTCTTTTGCTGTGCAGAAGCTCTTTAGTTTAATTAGATCTCATTTGTCAATTTTGACTTTTGTTGCAATTGCTTTTGGCGTTTTTGTCATGAAGTCTTTGCCCATGCCTATGTCCTGAATGGTGTTGCCTAGGTTTTCTTCTAGGGTTTTTGTTCTCTAGGCTTTTTTTATTCAGTCTGCTTTGCAGGGTAGATCATATTCTGTTCCTACTTCCTAATTCTGCCTGAGGAACTCCTACTCACCCTTCAAAACCCCTTCCAAACCCCTTCCAAATAGCCCCTCCTCTGTAAGCCTGTCCCAATCTCCCAGTTAAGTTCTCTACTTCTGTAAGCTCATAACTCCTACTGCAATCAGTGTCTTCCACTTTTATTGTCATTTTTATGTGTATCTTCTCCCTCATCAGATTGGGAGCCACTCAAGGGCAGAGTCTGAGTGGACTGATCCCTCCATCCCCAGTGCCCTGCACAACCCTGGCCAGGGCAGGCAGCAATATATCCTTATTAAATGAATAGACTGGAAGATGTCACAAAGGAGGTAAAATTGAGGCAGGATTTTGGACTGGGTGCTGTGGCTCATACCTGTAATCCCAGCACTTTGGGAGGCCAAGGTGGGCAGATTGCTTGTGCTCAGAAGTTCAATACAAGCCTGGGAGGCTGGGCCGGATGGCTCATGCTTGTGATCTTAGCACTTTGGGAGGCCAAGGCAGGAGGATTGCTTGAGGCCAAGAGTTAAA